TAATAAACGCTCGGCTGGAATTTCCGTGGAAGAGACACGTCCGCACAATGCGTTTCCACGTGGCCCCGATATGTGTGCCACGACCCACGACTTTATTATTTTCGGGGGCAGGCCCCCGTCGCGTATACCTGGTGGCGCGCCGGCTTTTGTTTCGCAGATCGTATCGGGCCGGCCCTCTTTCTCTCGTCTCGTCTCGTCTCGTCCCCGTCGCATCTGTGACCGGATTCGCTCCCATGCTCGCCCCGTAAAAATGCGACATATTGTGCGAAAAGCATATGGGCCACCCTACCCCCGGCATCGCTCCTCCTTTTTCGGGGTAGCCCCGCGCTAATCGACCGCACGGCTCCCCGCAGCCGGGGCCAACTTCCTCATTTTTTTACTCGTAAACTGCCGCACCTATCCCGGTCAAATTTTTCTCACTGTCCAACGCGTGTCCGAACAATGCTCACGAATTTTTTTATTGCGAAATATCGGACAGTAGTCGAGATATAAAATGATTTATGTACCGAGAAACTTTCGTCTCGAATTTATCGCGTTTCTTGTCTTGAAAAAAGAATTCGGGAGAGTCAAATAATTATTGCCAATCCGCGTAAATTATAGCGCGTGTGTACGGTGACAGTACGAAATGCGACATGTGCGAAAAGCATATGGGCCTCCTATCTACGTCGACGTTCCTCCTTTTATCGGGGGAGACCTGCACTAATCGACCGCTCGACTCGCCGCAGCCAGGCCAAATTCCCCATTTTTTTGCTCGCAAACGGCGCGACCGATCTCGGCGAAATTTTTATCACGATTTCACGCGCACTCGAACGAAGCTCCCGATTTTTTTCATTGGAAAATATCCGATAGAAATCGAGATATGTAATAATTTATAGAAACTTGGCTCCGCGCGTGAAATTTTTCTGTCAAGAATCGACGAGTTTGGTAGCGCGCGATCGAATTGTTTCCGATCGTTGTAAATCGTGGCGCGTTTCCACGGTGAAAGGAGGATAGTTTAGGCGTGCAGGGGAACTTTTTCGAGTGGAATAACCACGGTCGGGAGTCCCAGGAGGCCGCGGCGCCGGTTAATGATCGGTGAATCGCGTTTTCGCTCTCGGCGATGCGAGGAATCGCGAATGCAAAAACGCGTCGATTAATACGTCTATCCGGCGCGTGAGCGGCGTAATTAGAAAAATGATGAGGTGTCTGCGCGAGGGGGACGCGAGAGGGGGAGAAAAAAAAAGCCGTGAATCCATCGGCTCTGGTCTATCGCGCGCGAGAGAAAGCGCGCGGAGAGCGATAGTGAAACGTCACTGCATTCTGCGCCCGCGGAATGCAACGGAGGTTCGCCGATCGGCTGCAGCTTCTTTCCCATTCTCGTCACTCGGCTTGCTTTTTAATCGCAATTAGCCTCGAGGAATTTTTTAACAGGCTGCTTTGCATCTTCTTCGTCGAAGCTAACGATTCCCCAATTAAGTCTTCTTCGCGTATTTGGAGCGATTCGGAGCGGTTCAGGCGCCTCTCCAGTGGAACGGTTACTCAGAAAATGAAGCGAATAAGGCGGCACGCGGGGTGGGAAATATGGTGGCGGCTAGGTCGATATCGAATTTCCGCGGAGTCGTGTATCGGAGCAAACTATCCCGCAGGTGCCAGCCTGCTCGACGAAAATAGATCGAATTCGCGAGAGCTCTACGAGCCGATCGCACGAAACCCCCGGCCACCCTTCGAGCTATCGATCCGGCGGACCTCCCGATACCCCCTAATCCGAGTTCGATAGCGAATCTCCGCTTCTAACGCGTTCGAATGATTCGTATGTGTCAATTTGGAGAATTTCAGAGACAGCCGTCTCGCTCTCCGGTCTGTACCTCCGCGATCGAATTTTTTACCACGATGAGACTCGGGCAGAATGAAAGGGGAGATTTCGCTCTTTAAAATGAGCTGAAGCTGATTCCGGTGAGATTATTTTTCGAGAAGTTATAATACTTCAAAGTTGAACAATATTTTACTCGGGATTAAATATTTCGACTCCGGCGGCACAGTTTTCACTAAAAGTGCCATAAAATGGTAACAAAACATCGCAGCTCGCTTTTCTTGGTCTCGTTGTATAACTGAGACTTAAATCTACACACTCGCTTCAGTTTCATTCGAAGACAAAACTTTTTAGCCACCGGGGACATTATCGAATGTACGTAATCGTTCAAAAATCGCTTTCGACAGTTTTCGCTGTATATTTTCGTGAATAATTTTTTTCTTTAAAATCGATATGCTGGAGGTGGAAGGCCAGATTTTATTCTTTAAAATGAACTAGGCTAGATCGTTCTACAATTTTTCTTCGCGTAGTTACAATGTTTTGAAATCTCATGACACTTTTTACCGAAGACTTCATGATAAGTATTCTGACTCTGATGGCACAGTTTCCGCTAGAAGTGTCATAAAACGGCAAAAAAAAATCGCAGCTCACTTTTCTTGTTCTCAATGCAAAGTAGACGCTACAACCTACAAATTCGCATAAGTTTCATTTGAAAAACAAATTTTCTCACCTCCGTAGACATCATCGAGTGCACATAATCGTGCAAAAATCGCTATCAGCAATTTTCGCTCGACATTTCCATGAACAATTTTTTCACCTTAAAGCGACATACTTGCGATAGAAGGCGAAGTTCTGTTCTTTAAAACGAACTAAGCTAGATCGTTCTACGATTTTCTTTCGCGAAGTTACAATGTTTTGAAATCTCATGACACTTTTTACCGAATACTTCATGATAAGTATTCTGACTCTGATGGCACAGTTTCCGCTAGAAGTGTCATAAAACGGCAACAAAAAATCGCAGCTCACTTTTCTCGTTCTCAATGCAAAGTAGACACTACAACCTACAAATTCGCATAAGTTTCATTTGGAAAACAAATTTGTTCACCTCCGTAGACATCGTCGAATGCACATAATCGCGCAACAATCGCTATCAGCAGTTCTCGCAACGACATTTTCGTGAACAATTTTTCCACCTAAAAGCGACTCGCCGCCGGTGAAAGCGGAGATTTTACCCTTTAAAACGAGCCGAGGTAGACAGCCGTGCGATTCACCGGCGCGAAGTTACAGCGCGTTGAACTCGAGCGAGTTTCGCGGCCGAGCCCGAGCGCTCATTTAATTTCGATCGTCGGCGTATCTCGAAACGATCCTAATTCGCGAGATCGTCGAGGATGCCGTCGATCTCAACCGTCCGCGGGCGAGGGGATCAGGCGGGGCAAGGGGGGGGCAGCGAGGGAGAGAGGGGGGGCCGTCGCGTATATTAATCGTCGTGTACAGGAAATTAACTTGGCCTTGTTTTATCTTGCATTCTGATGACTGCATCTGCGTATCGCGAGAAACGTGTAACGCTCCGGTGTTCCGCGCGTGTATTAATTAAGTATGTGCGACTCGGTATGCGCGAAGGAAACGATCAAGGACTCGCTTTTACGAGTCAGCCAGGTGCACCGGGTGCTTTTCTGCGAATCATCGGTGCCCGATCCGCAAGAGAACCCACGATCATCGCGCTACATAGTCTCCGTGATCGCAACAAAAACAGAAAGATATATTCCTCCCCTCCGTTCCCCCCCCCCCCTACTTTCCCGGGGCCCCTTTAATCGCTCGCGAAAATCGGCGAGACGATGATTAACACGTTGTGCCCTGCTGGCTGTCACTCGGACAGGCTCCGAAACTATCGCGCAACACACGGTTCGCCGCGAGATTTTCATCCAGATAGAGCCCCTCGACTTCGAGGGTAGTTTTCATCTCTCGATTGAAATCGTAGGACAGCGACAATCGCGCTAATTAACACTTTGACTTTGTCGGATGAAGTTGTTATTAACGATCCGTTGTTATTCGACTGCGGAGTTTTATGCGAGATCGAAACTGTGCGCGTTAATTGCAAGATTGTATTTATATTATATGTATTTGTGTATATTATAAATATTATATACAATACATATTATACTAATATGTTGTACTATTTCGTACTTTATATTTATTAGAATCTTGTTACGATAGTAATATATTAATATATTAATTTCAAGATAATATTTATATTATATATATATTTATATATATTATAAATACTATATACAATATATATTGTACTAATATATTATATTATTGCATACTTTATGTTCATTACAACTTCATTACGATACTAATATATTAATACATTAATTGGAAGATAATATTTATATTATATATATTTATATAAATATATTATAAATACTATATACAATATATATTGTACTAATATATTATATTATTGCATACTTTATGTTCATTACAACTTCATTACGATACTAATATATTAATACATTAATTGGAAGATAATATTTATATTATATATATTTATATAAATATATTATAAATACTATATACAATATATATTGTACTAATATATTATATTATTGCATACTTTATGTTCATTACAACTTCATTACGATACTAATATATTAATACATTAATTGGAAGATAATATTTATATTATATATATTTATATATATTATAAATACTATATATACAATATATATTATACTATTGCATATATTATATTTATTACAATTTTATTACGATATTATAATATATTACTATTAATTAGTAATATTATACTAATACAATATATATTATAAATATTATATATATTTATATATATTATACATATCTTTTTTTCTTTCTCTAATTACGTCATTCGATTCGAAATAATGCAACAACATTTTCAAATTCTGAAAACGATGTTACTCTTTTGTATTTCGTCTCCCGGCTTCTGTCATGAATGCATCAAAATCGTACATAAATAAATCTCGATAAACAGATAGCCTCGTGTAATTTACTATTAAATATTGCATGCTTATTTCTCGAATATTGTCAAGTAAATTCCTGCAAAACCCATCGGACAGACTCCAAGAATGTCCGACAGGCAAAAGGTTTGTGAACGGAACACCAAATGTTCGATCAGCGTGACGGTCAAAGTGTCAATTAATAATAATGGTAATTCAGCTTAGGTATTTACCAGGCGTCGTTTCGGCTTGATGAGAGGTCGGTTCTGCCCGTTCATCTTGTAGTAGAGTCCGCAGGCGTTGCAGAGATAGTGTCCGGTGCCGTCCCGTCTCCACAGCGGCGTCGAAGTAGCGCCGCAGTTGACGCACTCGCGGCCCTCTATCGGGATCCCATCGAAGAAACAACAATGCTGTTAGAGACTCGTCTGGCTGGTTCGACAAGCGAAAGAACAGAGAGGAAGCTACGTCCGCGAGCGCCGAGCAGCGAAACGAATTCTCTATACAATATCGTCGTCGTACCAACGAAGAAATCGCGCGTCTCGCTCCGGGCAAGCTTCTGTCGCTGCTCGGCGCCGCCATTTTGAAGCACGGCCGCGCTGGCTCCGCCAAAACGAATACGAACATCCTCGAACGCTATCGGGACACCGCGTAATCAATTCCACGGCGACTACCCACGGTTGCTTGTTACAATTCGAAATGTTGCAGAACGTGATAGATACAGTGGCCGAGGAAATATTTGACAATTTTTACGTGAAACTTTTAGATGATTGTTTCGTTGCTGGGCAGGTCAACTCGAGGGGACGCGAGATTGAATTTTTGTTCCGAGCCGAATCTGAATATTTCTTCTATTTTGCGATCAATGCTCAGATTTTCCAAGACATCATAATTTATATATGTCATTAAATTATTTTATTATATGAATTTGTTATATGAATTATATATATATTATAACATATGTAAATTATATGTAAATTGTATATAAATTATAACATATATTTTATTATGATTTATTTATAATTATAACATATATAAATTACGTGCAAATTATAACATATGTAAATTATATATAAATTATAACATACATTTTATTATAATTTATTTATAATTATAACATATATAAATTACATGTAAATTATATACAAATTATAACATATATTTTATTATAATTTATTTATAATTATAACATATATAAATTACATGTAAATTATAACATATGTAAATTATATATAAATTATAACATACATTTTATTATAATTTATTTATAATTATAACATACATAAATTAAATATATTATACATATATTATATTTTATGTATTATTTACGTATGTTACAATTTATATATATAACTTATACACGTTACAATTAATATATAAGTCACATAATAAATTTAAATAATAAAATACTTTAATTTATATAATATTTATATATAATCTACACATAATTCGTAGACTAGTAACGTGCAGTCAGCAACTTTTTGAACCGCGACAGTTCCCGAGACAGAAGTCCCAAACATCGGGGGTTGTTCTCACCCCTTCGAAACAACGAGAAAGAACTGCCTCTTCTCGCTTGTCAAATATTTTCGTCGCGCACTATAGCAGGCTCGTTAAGATCCGGAGCGTGGGAGTCGCCGGGAATTTCGCGGGATCGCAGAGCGAGCGTGGCCGAGGCGAGAACGGTAGACATCGACGAAATTCGGTGATGGAACTCGCATGCAATTGCAGACATACCATACCAAGCGATTACCAGAGCAAAAGCAGAGTCTCATTCGGACCGTGGGCGTTCGATCGACTCGTGGATCGAACACGATCGTCCGATAGCGGCTTGTTAATAGCGGGGACCAATTTTTCTCAGAAAGAAGACCGGAGACAGAGAAAGAGAGAGACAGAGAGAGAGAGAGAGAGAGAGAGAGAGAGACAGAGAGAGAAAGAGAGAGAGACAGAGATAAAGAAAGAGAGAGAAATAGAAAAAGAGAGAGAGTGACAGAAAGAGAGAAGATAGAGAAAGGAAGAGGACAGTAGAGAGACCTGGCGTATCGTTAGTCTACCCTCCACCAAACTGGATGATTTTCAGACCCCTTCCAGCCGTCTTCGTGGCCGAAGCTAGGTCTGAAAATTCGTTCAAGGACAAGGCGTTTCAGGGAGGACTGTCTTTGACATTTCACGAGCCGTGAAAGTCCCGCGTCTCTCTCGGTTATTCGTCCATCGAGCTGCATCCTCCTCGGAATCTCTGCGCCAACGAGCGGCGGCCATTTTACTGGAAAAGATGCCTTTAGAGACTGCAACGGGCCCTTCTTTTTCCCACATGGGACCCGTTTCCGGTCGAACGCGATCGACGTGGCCGAAACTGTCCGCGATCCGGCGGAAAACGTCCGCGGAGGAAACGTCCGCAAGTTCGGAGGAAATGAAAACCGTGGGGCGCGATTCGAATTTCCCGCCGATCACTGGTGCCGAGCGCGCCAAATTCGAACCGAAAAAGCTTGCTGATTTGTCTGTCGCGATTTCTCCGCGAACTTCTAGCCAGTTCGCATTTTCGTTCGACGAGTTTTCGCACATAAACTGTTCGCCTGAATCGCTGATTCTTTATTGTAAAAAACGGGTTTTTTACCTGTATGTATAAACAACTGAATAAATAAATAAATAAATAAATAAATAAATAAATTTTCCTGCTAGTATAAACATTAAAATCATCCGAAATCGTCTATCCAAGATTATTTTTGCACACCACAATTTTTTCGACGTCGCAATTTTCTCGACTTCACAATTTTTTCGACGCAACAATTTTCGAACGTCACAATTTTGTTGACCTCGCAGAGAATGATACGAGAACCGATTGTAAATTGCTCGGAAATATCGGCGGAATATTTGATCGACGGTCACCGGCGTCGAGTAAAGCGGATTGGTTTTCCGAGAGAATTTCGCGTGCCGCGACTAGACGAAACAGGATCGATCCCGGCGTGATCGATTGCGCGGGAAGAGCGTTCCTTTCGCGGAAAACCGCACCGGCAGCCATAAACAGGCTGACGTCCACGGAATCGTCTGGCTTCGCCGTGATCGAGGCTGCCGGTGCTGCTCGGCGAGCGTGTGTGTGTCGTAAGTCGATTTAATTAGCGGACTTCCACGCCGCGAAGTCGGGCCATTGTTCCCGGAATTAGGATTTTTACCACGCCGTCCTCGCCGCAGACCGACCATTATTACCGCAATCAACGTATCCGGCATTTTTCAACCGGCACACGTTCCATTCCTAGTCCTCCTACTACAGTTTTCTTCGTCTTCTCCCCGGCCGTCGCATCGATTCACCGCGATCGACCCGATTCCGACGTTTGCACCAGTGACGCGCGGCTGTCTGTACGTAAATTCTCCCCAATTCGCGCTCAGATCGCGCACGAAAATCGACAATTTCGGAACAGGAGACTCGATTAATCGAGCCTCGAGGCTCGTTTTTATAGTTTCCGATTGCGAACAATTATAAAAATTAAATGCAAGGCTCGAATAGTCGTGTCTCCTCTACCGAAATTGTCCATTTTTCTGCAGAATCTGAGCGCGAATTAGGGAGAAATTAATTTACCTCGGGAAACGGAACCCTCTAAAAAATTTTTGGATTTTTTCACTTTCCGCAGCGATGTTCTACGGTCCTTCTTGATTATTTTCGTGCACGAATTTTCAAGATATCTCGAAAATTAGGGGAGTTACAAACAATTGAAGTAGACTATGAAAGTCCGCAGAATCGATCCGCGTAAATCACAGAAATCTGCTTTCGGTCGTAACATCGAAGAAAATATGTCTCTATCAAAAGATGAATTTTCTCTTTCGGCACGTAATTTTTCCACGATTCTTCCTGATTATTTGCGTCTATGAATTTTCAAGATATCTCGAAAATTACAGGAGTTGCAAACAATTGAAGTAGACTATGAAACTCCGCAGAATCGATCCGCGTAAATCACAGAAATCTATTTTCGGTCGTAACATCGAAAAAAATATGCCTCTAGCGAAAGATGAACTTATTCTTTCGGCATGTAATTTTTCCACGATTCTTCCAGATTATTTACGTCTACGAATTTTCAAGATATCTCGCGAATTGCAAAAGTTGCGATCATTCGAGCCGAACCGTGTCCGTCACGCGAACGTCGAAACCATCGCTGTCGCATTCGTCCTCGCGCAAAGTACACTGGAAGCAAAAATTTACCGAACAAAAATGTCTGCGCAATCATAAACGATGCACGAACAATCCGTAAAAATCGTTACCGCGAAATCTGGTCGCGCGTTATCCGAAAAAATTCCGCGAGTTCCGCGGATCCCGAGGTCCCGTTTTCCGAGGAACAGCAGACAGAGATCTTCGAAGGAAAAAAAAACTAACAAAATACGCGGCGACGATTCGTTAACGATCGAGGCCGAACAGAAAACCGGTAACATTCAGAATTCGTCTAGCACGGAAAAATCGTGGTCCGCAGACTCATTCTCGAGAGGGAGATTTGCTGTGACAAAACGAAAAAACGGCAGCATGTAGCCACACCACATCGAGAACAAAAATACGTGTGTGCTGTATCGCGCTTGCGTAGACGTGTGTGTCACACCTGTGTATGTATAAAGACACGAAAACAGATCTAGAGAGACAGACAGAAGAGAATGTAGGAAACGGTGTACAGGCTGGCACGGGGCATCGGGGGCCGATCGGAGGACGACCGTTTCGACGGCGATCGAGGAGTCCTCTCGCGATCGGTCGCCGGACGTTCCGGGGCCACCCTGTAGATCGACGTTGGCCGTCGATGAAAAAATCGAAAACGAACGGGGTGTGGTGCTGTTCACGCTGTACGTCTCGCGGGTGCCACTCAAAAAACACATCGGTGAGGCAAAAAGTACAAAAATACACGATCGGTGTGTTTTCTCCCTCTCGTAAACACTCAGCTCTCGATTATCATCGAGGTAATAAAGTAACGAGGAAAAAAAAGATACAGAAACAAACGTGTTCTCGAAAAAACGTTCCGATCAACGAGAACTGTAAGCGAAAGACGACCGCCACCAAAAGCTCGGGGATGGAGTCGAAAAACTGAAAGTTTCTGGGATGAAAAATCGACGACTCGAGGCTTCGCGGAATTCGCGCGCGGCTCGCTCCGCGGGGCAATCAGGCCACGCCCCCTCGGTACACTCCGCGCAGAAAGTATCTCGTTTTCTGAGTCGAGTGCGCTCGAGAGACAATTCCAATGGTCCCCGAAGCCGAGAAATCCTCGAGTTTGGTGCTCTTCTACGTTGCTCGTAATTTTTATAATAATTTATCGACCGTTCCTTCACGGTTTCTGCAGATCGTTGCTCGAGAAGAGAGCACCGCGGAGCGCCGAGTCGTCCAAACCAAGAGAAAGAAAGAGAACGACGAGGAGAATAAGCAAAACGAGAAACGTCAAATAGAAACGAACGAGATGGTCAAAGTGCAACAAAAAAAAAGAACAGATAACGACAAGAACCAAGGACAAATGGAAACCATAAAACACCGTGCTGCGAAACGAGGGTGCAGTCGTGTTCCGATCCGCAAACGGTACCAAGGAGGGCGAGGAACGAGGAAATCTTAGAATGCAAAGTGCTCCTTTCTTCGATTCCTTTCTCAAGCGATTATTCGTGCCGTTCCTTCAGATCGACGGTGCTGCCGGCGAGATAGTAAACCGTTCTCACACGAAAGAACCGGAAATCGACTGCACGCGTGTCTTTTAGCGACGAGAGAACGGTGCTGCACCGTAACGAGACTGTATCATTAACAGAAACCCCAGAAACGCATCCGATCAATTCGCTCCAATTAGAATCTTTATTGCACGGATCGATCCATCCGCCCGGCGGAATCGCGTTTTCCGATCGACACAATGGAAATCCCGTCGAAGCACGTTGAGAAAATGCGACGATAACGAGATTCTGATTGAGAAACGAGACGCGCGCGAGCTGCGCTCCGCTTTCGGGCGCGGCGAAATGTGTGCGCTAATTTTTCTCTAATTCGCGCTCGGATCGGGCAGAAAATTGGACAATTTCGGAAGAGGAGACGCGATTATCCGAGCCTTGCGACTCGTTTTTATAGTTATCGATTGTTAATGACTGTAAAAACCAGACGCGAGGCTCGAATAATCGTGTTATCTCTTCCGAAATTGTCCAATTTTGTGCGAAATCTGAGCGCGAATTACGGAGAATTAACGCGAATTAGGGAGAAATTACTGTATTCAGAGTTCTGTGCTGCGGTAAAACGCTAATTAGCAATAAACGTACTTGGACAATTTGGACAATTACTCGATCCTTGTACTCGTTTTTATAGTTATCGATTGTCAATGACTGTAAAAACAAGACGCGAGGCTCGAATAATCGTGTCTCCTGTTCTCGAATTGTCTATTTTTGTGCACAATCTCAGCGCGAATTAGGGAGACTTTACTGTATTCACAGTTCTGTGTGGCGATAAAACGCTAATTAACAGTAATCGTACTGAAACGAACGTGACGCGACAAAAATTTCGCGAAGCAGTCGATCGGTGCAAAAATAACGCAACAATTTAGAACGTACCGAAAAAAACGCACCGTTCAACCCGGTACAGTAATTTCTCCCGCGTCGTCCTTCAGTACGCGAACGAAACGGAATCGCTCGTTTTTTACAGTCATCCACAAATATAAAAGCGAACGCCGCGAGACTCGAACAATCGTATCGCCGCTTCCCAAATTGTCTATTTTCGTTTACAAAGCGAGAAACAACTCCCTAATTCGCGGCCAGATTGCGCACAAAAAAGCACAATTTCCTAAGAACAGACACGATTATTCGATCCTTGCACATAGTTTTCATAATCGTTAACCATCAGAAACCACAAAAACGAGCCGCGAGGCTCGAATAATCGCATCCCCTCTCCCCAAATTCTCCATTTCCATGCGCAATCTAAGCGCGATTTCCGGAGAAATTCCATCATCTCCCTGCGATCCCGGCAAAACCCGCGCGCCCCCGATCACGAACGCATCGAACGACCAAAAGAATGACAGCTCGCCCGTCGGACCACCCCAGAAAACCATCTCGCCCCGGAACAGAGCCCCTACCGACCTCGGTGCAGCACCGAAAACCGAAACGCCGCAGCCGGCGAACCAAGAAACCCCGTAGAAACCACGAAGAAACCCCGGTGTTAAAGCGCAAAAGTAAAAAAAAAAACCAGAGGAGTATCCGGAAGAGAAGGGCGAATAGGACGTCTTGGGTGTCTTGGGTGTCACAGGTGTTTTCGGGCGTTCGATCATGGGTAATGGACAGAGAGTTGGTAGGCGTGCCGCTTACCGGCGGACGTCCTCGACTTGTTCCTGGGCTTTTGCTGCTGCTGCTGCTGCGCGGAGGACGGCGAGCTCGGCGTGTTAGGGTGCGCGTGACCGACCAACAACTTCGAGTCGACGTTAACGCCGGCCACGCCGGTCGCGTTCCCAGCCGCCGCGGCCCCAGTCCCGGCGGCATGATGCCCGAAGAGACCCGAGGTGACCGCGGCGGTCCCGTTGTGGGGGTTGTGGGACGAAGACGTAGAAGACGACGAGGAGGCGCCGTGATGATGGTGGTGGTGGTGGTGGTGGGCATTACTAGGATACTGCAGGTGCTGGTACATGTTATAGGCGCTGGTAGCCGGGTCGTACTGCGACCCGGTGTGGTGGCTGTTGGAGGCAGCCGCGGCCGCGGCCGCGGCGGCGGCGGCAGCGGCGGCCGCGTAATTGTCCCTGCAGGAGGGCGAGCTCGCGCCACCGCCACCACCCCCGCCGCCGGCCGCCACGCCGTTTCCCTGATACTCCTGCTGCTGTTGCTGTTGCTGCTGCTGTTGCTGCTGTTGCTGCTGCTGCTGTTGTTGCTGTTGTTGCGCGGTGGTGGCCTGTTGGCTGCCCGATTGGTTATTACCTTCTCGTTGCTTGACCTGCCCGCTGCCGGACCCTCCGTTCGCCCCGTTCCCCTGGTTCCCGGCGTTCGTGGTCCCGTTGTGCTGCTGGTGGGGCGGGGACGGGGCCCCGTGGTGGTGGCCCAGCATCACGCTCGGCTTGACGTCGCACGAGCTGGCCCCCGACGCGCCCAACGCGTCCTGATGGTGCATGAACGCGCCCATCACCGCCGCGTGCGCCACCGCCGCCTGGTACTCGCTGCTCGCGCCGCCGCCCAGGCCCGACAACGGGTTGCTGCTGTTGTTGTTGTTGTTCGCGCTGCTGTTGTTGTTGTTGTTGTTCGTCGTGGAGGTCGTGCTGGCCGTGATGCTGTCCGGGGTCGCGTCCTTCGGCGGGGTCGGCGGGAACGAGAACAGGTGGTGGCCCGCGCCAGCGCCGCCGTGGCTCGACAGGCTGCCGGTGCTGGGCGGCAGGGACGAGCCCAGGGGGCTCTGCGGCTTCTCGTCGCCGACGCCGCCGCCGCCCGAGCCCGTCGACGTCGGGAAACCCCACGGCGTCTTCGACGTGTCCGCGCCGCTGCCCGCCAGCCACGGGTGCAGCACCGAGCTGTGGAAGTGCGGCCGGCACACTTGGCTCACCGGCCCGCTCGTCACGCCGCTGCTCGACATCCTTGCTGCAACACCGAAACGGGACATCGTTAGATAGGACCTCGGCCCGGGTCGCCGCGGGCCCCGTGGGCTGCTATCGTAGCGGCGGCAGGGATACAGTTTCGAGGACTGTAAATTTTATACGTTTTTTCCCTTCGGTTTAACAAAATGGACGATTCGGGAAGACGAGATGCGATTATTCGAGCTACGTGGCTTATTTTTATTGTTTCCGATTGTTGACAATTGCAAAAACGAGGCGCAAGGCTGGAATAATTCCCGGATTGTCAAGTTTTGTTCACAAGCTGAAGGAAAATTAGGAAGAATTTATTGCAGTTCGACTTTGGAAATGGAAAATTGGGGAGAATTTATTGTAGTTCGACTTTGCAATTGGAATCTACGGATGCCGATACGTTCGAAAGACGAGCGAAATAGTCTCCGTTTTATCTCACTTCCAAATATAACGCAGGACACGGCAATTACGCGTGAAAGGTTACGCGATCTTGCGATACGATGTCGTCAGAACGAAGCGTTGGAACTACAGCAAATTCTCTCTAATTCGCGCTCAGATTGCGCACAAAAATGGACAATTTCGGAAGAAGAGATACGATTATATTTTATACGATTATTTTATATTTATAGGTATAGATTATATTTTATAGATTAAGATTATATTTTGATATATAGATCATATTTTTTATATTTTATAGTTGTTGAGAGAGACAATCGGTAACTATAAAAACGAGTCGCAAGGCTTAAATAACTTCGAACCGTCCATTTTTGTTCACAATCTGTGCGTCAATTAGGGGGAATTTACTGTACTTCTTTTTATTTACGAGATTTTCAAGGAAAGGGGACCGCTACTCTACCAACCCAGACCCAAGTAAAACAATCGATAGTTAGGTTGTGCGCCACTAATTACTTAAACCTGCGCTAATTAACCTCCTAGCATCGATTCGTTGAAAAAGATCGTTCCATCATTATATTATTATATATTAATATATTATTATGTTATTATATATTATATATTAATATATTATTATATTATTATATATTAATATATTATTATATTATTATATTATTATATATTATATAGTAATATATTATTATATGTCATGTATTAATATATTATTATGTTATTATATACTTATACATATATTCATATACATTATCATATGCACATTGTAACATCAGTTTCGAACGAAGGAACTTTCGGCTACGAAATATCATCTGCCCCAGACGTTGCCCGGGTACATAATAGCCTACATGTCGTGTTACAAATAACGATCATCCATTTATCAACGTTCCATCGATTCGTAAGCCTCGCTGATTCGGCCATGGCATTCGTTCGTTGAAAAAAATCGTTCCGATTCGAACGGGAGTAACTTCTCGGGGGAACATTAAGAAAACCGTCGTCGAGATTCAAGTGGCGACGGGGTTTCGCAACGGTCACCGACGATGCCCTAGGCTTAGAAACCGGTACGGAGCGTACGAACATGGACTCGCGACGGCGTATCGCAGAAACGGGGAACCTGATTCGTGCGTGCGCGGAATGATCGGCTTTTATGCCGACCGTAAAACCACCTAATTGCGGGAGACATCTTAATTAAGTGCGAGGGGCCCCGGTGGCTGGAGGCGCGCGCTATTATTGGTCTCTCGTCTCTCTTCTCTCTTCTCTTGTCTGTGTCCCCCCACCCGTCCACCCTGGCTGCCACCACTCTCTCCTCTCCTCTCTATCTCTCTCTGTCTCTCTCGCTTCTCTCGCCGGTCTCTCCCGTGCCGGGCGCGCATGAATCTTTCACCTTTCGATCGGGTTCGCGCGCGCGAGCGGCGCGAGGCCGAATTCCGGGGGCCCCGCCCCCTCGTTGGTTAATTCGCGGACTCGATTGCCGCTTCTCCGTTTTCTCCGGAGGAGAGGAGACCAGAGCCGAATCGATATATCGAGTTCTTGCCTCTGCTCTCTCCCTCCCTCCCTCTCGCTCCCCCCGTGGGAGAGACCGGGGCTCCGCCTCGCCGGCATACGCTGATAACGAGCGAGTGTTTTGCCGAAACCCCACCCACCGGCGACGACTTCGCCGAATTACCAGCATTAACTCGGCGCCGCGACGCGATACGTATTTCCACGGTGCTCCCATACGCTTCCACGGTCTTGCCGGCGACTGTACACGCCGGCTGAGACGTCGCCGCGGCGACGCGCTTTCGGAAATCGCCGGTTTTTCGGACCACCCTGTATGGAAAGACGCTTCGCCGTAATTGTGCGTCCGCGATGGATGCGCTCGTTTCTCGGCGGAGAATGAACCTTTCGACCCGGCAATTTTTGTACGCGTTCCTCGAGGCATCGTCTATGTGCGAAAAAAGTTTCGAAAATTTAGGCCCCGCTGTTCAGGCGGGAAGATTTTTCGAACGGGGACCGCATCTTTGGGCCGCAGGACGATTACCCAAAATCGTACGTTTCCGATAGAAATGATCGCGTCTCGCTGGAGAATGAATCTTTCGGGCTGAAAATATTCACGTATGTTCTACGAAGTGTCCTCTAAATGTATAAAATGTTTACAAAACTTTAGGTTCTGCCGTTTAGTTGTAAAAAATTCCCGAACGAGGCCTATATCTCCACGTCCGCGGATTATTGTACAAAATTGAACGTCTCCGATAGAAATGATCGTATCTCGGTGAAAGATGAGTCTTTTGACCTGAACATTTTTATACATAATTAATAAACTACCCTCTGAACGTACGAAAAGTGTGAAAAATTTAGGCGCAGCCGTTCGCCGGAGAAAAATTCTTGAACGAGCGCCGCATTTCCGGACCGAGGGATCGGACGGAACGCTGAGTAAATAATAACTGCGGCGAATAAATAATCGGCAAGCGAATAATGGTGGACAGAGGGGAGTGGATGGATGGTTTAGCGATAGATGATGGTATCAGCGTGAAAATAATCGCGGTGCCAGTGCTCGGCCGGCGAGGATGCTAACCGCAGCTCGCGGGCGGAATGGAAGAGAAACGTCGCCGCGGAAAGCCGTCTAAATTTAGGAGCATGAAACGTAATATCAGCCGGAGGGCCCGGGAAGAAGGGGGGGGGGCATCGCGGACAGAGACGAGCAGCTGCAGCGTCACGCAATTAATCGAATGCAACGATGCCCCGCCTGTAATTGGATCCCGCGCGCGCTCGCTGCAACGATGCGACGCCGATGCGACGCCGAATCGCAGCATGTCCGCGAATCGCGGCCCAGAAATCATTGACACTTCAATTGCCAACGGCAATCTCGAACGCTGCGTTCCAATCGAAGGCAAAACAAACAAATCGAACGATTACTGGGAGGCAATTAAAAAGATAATAAGCGATTTAATAAAATTGAATTAAAAGAATCCACTAAGATTAAAGTAAAATAGTCTGATTGAATTGAACAAAAATAATTGAAAGAAATTGAATTGAAAGGATTTAGTAAAACTGCATTGAAAGGATTTGGTAAAATTGAATTGAAAGGATTTGGTAAAATTGAATTGAAAGGATTTGGTAAAATTGAATTGAAATGATTTGGTAAAATTGAATTGAAAGAATTTAATAAAATTGAATTGAAAGAATTTAATAAAATTGAATTGAAAGGATTTGGTAAAATTGAATTGATAGAATTTAGTAAAATTGAATTGAAAGGATTTAATTGAATTGAAAGAATGTAATTGAATTGAAAGAATTTGGTAAAATTGAATTGAAAGGATTTAATTGAATTGAAAGAACTTAGTAAAATTGAATTGAAACGATTTAATTGAATTGAAAGAATTTCGTCAAATTGAATCGAAAGGATTTAATTGAATAATTAAGAGGACGATGCGATCGCGGCGGGTAATTTTAGAAATTGTTGCGTTGCGAAGTGAAATAAGAAAGCCAGGAAATGCCAGAGATTTCCCGGAGATACGACATCCGGAGATCGCGACGCGATCTATATAAATCGGTCACTCGATCGCGACAGCTACGCCCACGCGCTGAAAACGCTCGATCCAATAAGCTGCACACGGCGCATTCCGCGCGTTCATACGATAATTGACTCGTCGCGTCGGTTGAACGTCTCGCGAGAGATCGAGTACGAGATATGTGCACCGATACACAAGGATTCGATTCGATTCGCTTCCGAGAGCCCTGTTTCGTTGCCTTTATCGAACCGAGTTGAATGTTCGTCTCAAAAAGAAAGGGTTCGCAACATCGTTGAAGGATACGCATGTTGCACTATGAGGATTTTTTCTGGAAGAACGGATCGATCAATCGGCTTCGAAACTTCGCACATGCCTCGATCAATGCTTCTGTATACAGGAAATCATTTTCCTGGAACGATCTTTTGTCGGGGAATTTGTTTTAACATGCCTCGAGTACGATGATGCATTTTGGTTTGAATTTTGGGCTGGCAAGATGAAGTTTTAGAATTTTTCCCGAAGAAACGGCTGAATGAATCTTTTTGAAATTTTCCACGAATTTCAAGTAGCAAATCTGAATACAGAAAAGAATTTTCTTGAAGCGACTTTCCATTGGGAAATATTTTTTACGAAGCTCAGACTGCGAAGTGCCATTTTCGCATCACGCTTGAAGAGACTGCGAGATAAGTTCGACATAGAGTATTTTTTCCAAAGAAATGGTGGAATGAATCTTTCTGAAATTTTGCACAGATTTCAAGTAACACTTCTGAATATAGAAAAGAATTTTTGTTCAACAATTTTCCGTCGGAAAATATTTTTTACAAAGCTCAGAGTGCGAAGTGCCATTTTCGCATCACGCTTGAAGAGACTGCGAGATAAGTTCGACATTGAGAATTTTTTCCAAAGAAACGGCCGAATGAATCTTTCTGAAATTTTGCACAGATTTCAAGTAACACTTCTAAATACAGAAAAAAATTTTTGTTCAACAATTCTCCATCGGGAAATATTTTTTATAAAGCTCGAAGTGCGGAGGTCCTTTGCCTGAAATCATCAAAAGAATCTGCCTTTTATATTTGAATATTTGAATATATATATCTGCACATTTCTATTTCCATGCAAACTA